CCACTAGTGCGGCATTTCTCAGACCATTCTCTCTGGTTTTCCTAACACCTCTCTAATTGCTCCTTCAACATCTCCTACCCTCCTCCATTCAGTGAGACCTTGCCTGCCCCTCCTCCCCCCAAACTCTCCCCCCCCCACACACACCCCCTTACATCCTGTCTAGCGATCTCATTTGCTCACACAGCTTCCAACTAGCACCTATATACAGATGACTCAACTCCACTTTTTACTCCTCACCATGCAATCTCGCCTTCTAGCCAATTCCGTCTCTCAGCCTGTCACCCTGACATCTCCTCCCAGATGGCATACTGTCAATTAAAAAATTTAACATGCCTCAAACTGACCCCTTTACCTTTCCTCCAAACCCCTCCTGTCAATCAGGCCAATAACCAGGGAGGGGTGCATATGTCATTTTTGACACTTCTTTTATTCTCCCCCCCCCCCCCCCCCCACTCTGGGGGAGTAGGGTAAAGGGGGGGGGGGGGGGGGGGGAAGGGGAGGGAGGGAGAGAGAGGGGAAAGAGAGAGGGAATAGATTTTTTTTTTTTTTTTGTACAGACAGCCAAGGCTCTCATCCAGCCCATCATTCTCTCCAGTCTTGATTACTGATTTTTCTCTAATATTCTCTAACTGTAGTATGGCAGATAATTGAAAGTCTGCCATTTGTCAGCAGATATTCCAGAGTATCTGCGTTGGATCATGATTACTTACGGTGCGTAGATGATACTGCTTCAAATAAGTCAACTGAATATCTTGGAGGCTGGGCTATAAAAATTGCAAGTGGAGGGTATCTGCTCCTTTTATGCACAGATGTGTAGATCCATCATTGTAGTTGAAGCAGAGTGCCTTTTCGTATATCTGTTTCAATGCATGGTTAACCTGCCTTGTTGTACTTTGCCACATTGAAGAAATTGGTGTCTTGATTAATTTGTGTATGCTAGTCTATTAAAGTGCTTTCTGATCCCAATTCTCTACAGAAAATTTGAAACAAAGATCAATCAAACCACATAATTTAGGTGAAAAGGGTCAGTCTGTTTTAATTATCCAGCCTATTTCAAGATTTAAAAAGTCAGCTTGTGGTCAAAGACTACATGTAGTTTGGGGAATGTAGCCAAAATGTTACGAGAATTTGCCAATATTTGAAATTTTACTTTTTCAGTTTGAGATCAGACAATATGAAAGCTGTGGCACTAATTTTTAATGTAAGTGTCCCTTCCCAGCCAGCTTCATTCCTCTAGTCCTACATGCTTAGGGCCCTACTAAATTCATGGTCCATTTTGGTAAATTTTACGGTCATAGGATTTAAAAATAGCAAATGTCATGACTTCAACTATTTAAATCTGAAGTTTCATGGTGTTGTAATTGGAGGGGTCCTGACCCAAAAAGGAGGTAGGTAGGTAGGTAGGTGTGTGTGTTTTGCAAGGTTATTGTAGGGGGGTTGCGGTACTGCTACTCTTACTTCTGCACTGCTGCTGGCAGCGGCTCTGCCTTCAGAGTTGGGCTTCCGGCCAGCAGCCACTGCTCTCCCACTGCCCAGCTCTGAAGGCAGCGCTGCCACCAGCAGCAGCACAGAAGTAAGAGTAGCAGTACCACAACCCCCCCTACAATAGGGTAACATGGTATGGTATGCCATCCAGCTCTGAAGTCAGCACAAAAGTCAGGGTGGCAATACCGTGACCCCTTAAAATAACCTCGTGATCCCCCCTGCAACTCCTTTTTGGGTCAGGACTCCCAATTTGAAAAATACTGGTCTCCCCCCATGAAATCTGTATAGTATAGGGTAAAAGCAAACAAAACCCAAAAGATTTCACGATCCACGACACGTTTTTCATGGCCATGAATTTGGTAGGGCCCTATACATGCTCCTCATTACCTTTTCCACCGTCCTCTCCTTTTCACATCCCTTCCATGACCTAGCCTGTATAAAGCAGCAATTTCCCCCTTCCCCCAAATCCTAGAAGTAACATTATCGCTACCAACCATCACTCTTCTTGCATGTTGCATCCTTTCCTCCCACCCTTTTTCAGTCTTATCTACTCAGATTAAGCTATTCAGCTAAGGAATGGTCTTACATGCATTTGTGTAGCAACTAGCCTCAGTCCTGCTGGGCACCCTAGGTTCTACTGTCATGAAAATACAACATGCAGTTTCAGGGCACTGAATCTGAAACACTTCCTAGAATAAAACTGCACTGTTTAAACAACATAACCTGGTACCGTGCGGAGCTGAAAAAACGTAACAGGGCAAGTACTACCAACTGTCAGCAAGCTTATTAATGGCTGTAGTGTTCCTTGAAGTAACCCTATTCTTTGCCTTTGCCATAATTAAGGTTAAGATTTTGTCACAGGTATTTTTAGTAAAAATGTCAGGGACGGTCACAGGCAATAAACAAAAATTCATGGAAGCCCACGACCTGTCCCTGACTTTTATTAAAAATACCCCGGGGTGGGATGCGTGGGGCGCAGTGGACACTAATAGTTGTGGGTTCACTGCTGCCCCCTGCTCCAGCCCTGCCACTCTGATGGGGCCTGAAGCCAAAGTAGTCATGAAATCTGTGACCTCCATGACAAAAATCATATCTTTAGCTACAACCATAAGGCTCCTCTCTCTGTAGTGAGAGAAAGAAGCATTCAACCAACTATATTTTCTTGATGAACCAGACTGTTCCCTAGTGGACTGCACAGGATTAAGGCAGGTGCCACATATTGCTGCTTTTCTATGCAAGGAGGGAATGAGGTGCAGGGAGGAACACATACCAATTTGTTTTCTTCTTCCAATTAAGACCGTACATATATATTGATTATTCCTACCCTCATCACAGAAGCTGCCAAGAACCGAATAGTAAACAACACCTGGTAGTTCATCAGAGACTTTGAAAACAAATTTCTATGTAAGAAATAAATGTACTTATCAGATTTTCTGTTGGTTGCTTTTCCCCTGTTAACGGGGATGTGTGTGAAGACAAGATCTCTTAATATTCAACCCCTGCAGTAATTATTTGTGATGTCACTAAGCAGAGCGTATTCCTAGAGCAGGAGGAAAAAATGAGCTCTTAAAAAACAAGAGATCTTGTGTTTGTCATTAGTGGGAGATCAGGGAAGAGCTGCACGAACAATAATCTATTGCATAAAACACGACTGGCTCTTAAGAGAGCAGGATAAATTCCCATAGACATATGGGTACAGGGCACTAAGTGTGCTAGTGGGACACTATCCCTTGTGAGGGAGTGACATTGGCAACACTGCTGGGGTTCTACCAAGGATGGCAGCCTTAAGCTCCAGAAAAGGCACCATGGGAAACAATGCATGAAAGACTGCCCTGGAGATACACATGTCTCTAAGGTTTTCCTATAGTAACCATCACTTCAGTATCCAAGGTTAGCATCTCCTGGTCATACTAGGCCGGCCTACTTTGGGAACTACACTGGTTAGCTCTACGCTCTGCTGGAGTGGGGCTTGTGGAAATTTGCACTGCTGTGCCCCCATTCCCAGTGGACTTTCTTCTGCTTGGGCCCAGAGCCTGGCCTCCCCTAAAACCACCAGGCCTTCACCACTGCCTCCTCTTTTTTATAGTCTCTGTAACTTGTACGATATCCACAGCTGAAATATATTTAATGCACAAAGAAAATAACAGTGAAAATACAAGTGTTCTAGGTGCCCTGACCTCCTACAAACTCCTACAAACGCACAATGCAGGCAGCAGCATTAAGGAAAGTCAAACCAACAAATTAGATCAACTCAATCATCCTGCGAGAGTCAGCCACATACATACCCTCAACCTTTCATTTATTTGCTCAGGCTCTTGGCGTTTTTAGGAGGGTTCCCATTTAAAAAGAGATCTCCAAAATTTTACCCTCCCCTCTTGCCTTCAGTCATCAGCTTTACCAGGAAATGCATCTTTCAGAGATGAAATGTGTAGTTGCACTACATGTATGTCTGCAAATCCCAGCCAACAGTAATTTTGGAAGTGACTAGTAGCTCCATCTAGCGACTGAAATAAACAGGACCTGGGAGAGGATGGATTTAGAAGGCTTAGAGACTGCTTATGCAAACATCCTCCCTAGAGCAAGTCTCTAAGAGGAATTGTCTTGGATTCCCCTTGCCAAGCAAACTAATAGAAAAAGTATTAGTGAGAATCCTCCTCTACTCCTCCTATTCAGAAGCAGGAGAATTAGCACCTTAAAAAGAAAAAAAAATCATGGAAGGCTATTGCAAGAGTTGATAATTGTATTTGCTTCTGAAATTACATCAAATTATTTCTTCTTCCCCACCACAAGCTAATTTAAAACTCCTGCAAAATACAGAGAATTGGTAAATTCCATATAGCATATGCACAATAGTTATTCTTTATGCTCCACTCAATGTGACAACAAGCAACTTTCCAGATAGATTTCAGTTTTCAGGCACACCTTGGCAAAGGGATTTCCCTACCTTTCTATCACCGAAGTAAGTCCCTTACCACAAACCAGATCCTAGCAAATGAGTGTAACCAACTGCTACTAGGATTGTTCCATAATAGAACTTTGATCATCATTCAAAAAGCCTTCAAAGCGCCCAGTGTCTAGGACTGGGTCTCAAGATGGAGTTTTGAGTAGCATATGTAAGAACCCGGACTTTAGATATAGCCCAAAAGTCATTCTTAGTTCAGAATGGAAGTGCTTTTAAAAACAAACAAAAAAAAAACCCCACCGAACTCCCCCCTCCCCCCCAGAGTTTTCTCTTCCTTATTTGAGACATGTTTCCCCAAGGAAAGATAAAGGGTGAGGTCACGGGTGCAAAATAGGATGAGGGTGCAGGAGCCAAATTTTAAGGGTTTGAGTTACCCATGGATGGCCTCAGGGCTGCTTCCTGAAAAGGGGAATAACTAGATCGATCGCTCACCTTTCTGTTCTAACCTCAAGATAAAACCTTTTCCACCAATCATACCAAGTTCACACTACTTCATCTGGAATCATGTGGCCAAAAAGGAAATCATCAAACCCCACAAAATAAAATTGAGAACCTTTGCAATGAGCCAACACCGCCATCTCTTCTGAAGGAATACTCAACCTGCTGGAATTGAAACAGCATCAAATTAGTGTGGGATCACAATCAGGGCCCCTTCTCCCACAATAGGAAGAAAACCAACCCCCCCCCCCCACCACACACACTATCCTGGAGCCCTTTCAATTCAACTATGTCATACTATGTCATTCCGGTGCCTGTCAATCTGAAAGTGAAATGGATCTCGTCATTTTCCAAGCTCAGAGAAGACAAAAATAAGTCCCAGAGTACCAAGCAGTAAGTTTGGTTCACTGGGCAGTACTGGGGACCTTGGAGGGCACAAATTCAATACACGTATGCACCACTGAAATCAATAGGCTTCTGCATGTGAAAAGCTTTTTACGATCAGAAACAGACTTCTCACTCCTTCTGGGATAATAAGCCAAGGTGTTATTTGTAGCACACAGATGTATATACAGTCAATTGAAAGTGTCCCTTTAACACAACATACCATCAACATTTAGAAGTTTGAATGCACTTCCTTTGACAGCTCACCAACAACAAAAAGGAAGACACTCTAAAGTACACCCTGTATTCATTTCTTTCAACAACACGTATCAATATTTACAAGGGCCAGTTTATTAATTTAGTATGCATACTATAATACAGACTTGCAAAGAAGCCAGCAGATCTTAAGATTCAAATCCTGCTCACATTACTCATTCAAGTAGCCCCACAATGAGTCTATTCATGCAAGTAAGACCAGCAGGATTTGGGTCTAAATTCAGACATTAGCAAACATAACTACAAACACCACTTTTTAAATGTGGTGGTTAAACAGAAAGAAAAATGCAACAATTACCCATTCAAATTCACTTTTATTCTAAGGGTCATTCATAAAAACGCACTATAAAACATGTTCTGAGTCACCCAAGGACATCAGTATTTCCTAATGCAGCTTCTTGGTCTCTTGCTTTTAAATGGTCTTCTTTACAACCTCAGACCATACTTAAATAGGCCTGAAGCAACACTGAATTCCTTCCCCAATTCCCTAAACAAAAGTTCCATGTAGCACTGGTTCCCTCACCATATGTGCACATAATAAAGTCACATTTGCACCTCTCTCATGCAAAGAGAGTCTGATTGTCTAATGCAATACAGTAATAATTTTTCAGTACCAAACAATATGAAAAATAATTGAAATAAAGAAAATAGTTGATTGTTTCTTAAAGTTATCATCATTTAGAAATACACTTGGCATTTTTTGTTCCATACTGGGATTAGATATACCACAAGGGACCATATAAATTCTTCTCCGTTTCAAAAACCTGTTCAGTAAGTAGATGATTCAGATCCATGGTTGACTAGTCTAGGGTATGCCTGCCTCTAATATGCAATCCATTCTGTCATATTTGAGTGATTGAATAGCGTAACTGTGATTACTGACAATAAAAATAGTATAGAAATACCTACCAAGATTATAAAAATATAGAAATGCTAGGATTTTGACAATATCAGAAGAAAACTGCTAATGAAAAGTGATAAATATTTCCAGTTTTTCCACCCACATTGCAGAAGGAAGAAAGAAACAGGTATAGAGATTTAAGCAGATTTTTATCAATATCATCCAGAGGAAAAGAAAAAGGATGGAGGGGACTCAGGGTTATTGTACAGAATCATATTTACCTAAATCTAATCCATGGGCAGTCATATATCATCTGAGACGAAATGCTGTGCAAGGACTAAACTTCATGGGGTAATCAGACCTAGTGTAGGTGTGATCAGGATACCTACTATAAGTGTGATGTCACCTCTCCTTTATTCTTTAGGGGCTGAATCCAACTCATTGGGAAGTTAATGGGAACCGTTCAAAATACCACTTTAGCTGCTTTTTGCTGACTTGCAACTTGGTTGCTGATCAAAACCTCTAAATCCCTTGCTATCAAAGTGAAAACTATCCTTAATTTTGGTATTTATCTGCCAGAGTGCTAGGAAAAAAATAATAATTCTGTGAAATCTTATGAGCTAGTGCAGTTATCTGAAAGACAGGAACTGGGTTAGACTTCCCTTATAACTGCATAAGCATGATATCATTATCCCATATTTCATCTGTTTGACCATAGCTAAGTAAGATTTTAAATCTGAAATCATAAGATATCTATAGGACTTCTTTGTAAAGACAAAGTCCTGTCATTAAGACTGAGTACACTGGCTATGCCATATTTTAAATAAATGCGGACAATTAAAACCAACCAACCAACCGAAATACGGTGATTCAAAACTTTGAAGCATAGGTGAAGAATCCAAACCTGAACATTATACAAGAGACCCAAATATTTGCCAGCTTCTCATGTTTTTTTAATCTTCCTACCTCTTCCTTTAAAATTAGTGCCTGGGTGTAACCAAGGGTTACAGACAGATAAAAGGAATACACTCTAAACCCTAGAATTTGTAATTGAAATGAAGCACTTGTTTGGGGCCAAATTCTCAGCTGGTGTAAGTAGAAGGAGCTATGCTGATTTTACACCAACCTAGGATACAGCTCACAGAGTACACCCAGATCAATTTCATTATCCTAAATCCCTTTTTAGGGTCTGTTTTTTGTTTTTTTTAAACTACTTAAATAATGTTTTGGAAGCAGCTATAGTAAAGAGGTGGGAATACAGAGCCTAAATTGGGCCTAGTGATCCACCTAGCTAGGGACTCACCTGCCCACCGTGAGACTTGAGAGGCACGGTTATTATGATTTCTATTCAGTAGTGCCTAGTGGCTCCAGGATCACCTGATTGTCTCGTATAGTTTCAGTGTCCTGGCTAGTCCCATCAACAGCAGTTTCCTCCCCATCTCCTCCAGTTTCAACTTTCTGGCCTCCTTCTCCCCACCCCCTCCTGTTCCTTGCCTGCCCAACCACCTCTCCCAATATTACATCTCTACTGTCCCAGATCCTGCTGCGTCCGTGTTGGGCCCAAGTGACCCACCTCTGTCGGCCACAATTCCATTGTGTTACCACACACTGTATTACGTGTACAAATGGACATTACAGTACAATGGATTGTACTGTAGCCTCACTACATGCATATCAGCAGCATCAGATCCAGTGAAGGCAGCTAGGGCTTGAAGCGTCTAATAGCAGACAAAGAGGCTGGCAAGGTAGGGGTCAGGGAAAGCGGGGAATGGGAGGAAGTGAGCTTGGTTGTATGCTAGAAGAGTGGAAGAACTGGTGACTTGAGGAGTCAATCTCATCCCTTCCTCCCATCCCTGCTCACCCCAGTTGTTAATGCCGGATCACGTGTGCATTCTATACTGGGGTGGAGCTACGCAGGGAGCTAGAGGTTTCCTGGTTTGGTATTAAAAAAAAAAAAAAAAAAAAAAAAAAAATCTAGTCACCCTTTACCACCACTCCTGGGGCTGTGCAGTTTTCTGAGGCTCCATTATTTCTAATGACACCGCATAAGCTGTTAGATTCATCTGCTGCGTCTAGCAAACCGCTACCAAGAGTTCCTACCAAGAAGCAGGAAAATGCTGGGCCAGATTCTGATGCCCCATTGAATGGGTCTGTTCAAGGTCAATTGAGGGTAACTGTCTGAGTAAGGTATTGAGCAAGGTGAGTAAGGGGTATCAGAATCTGTCCCTTAGTAATCAAAGAAAGGAAGGACAGAAAAAGCACACACAGCAATAAAATGGAAGATTAGTGTGCCTGGTATTTTCAGAAACTGCTGGTGGGACTCTTGAAAGAGATTAGTTTTCCTTTATTTGTATTACATTTTAATTTTTAAAGGATATTTGAGTACTTTTTTGAAATGTGGATCTTAGTTAAACACATCTTAGGTATCATTTCCTATATTGCTCCAGTGCGGTTCTCCTCTGGTTCTCTGTGGACAAACTTTGATAATTTTCTATGTGACATGTTTCTGTAGCTGAGTGTTCAAAGTCCTCAAACTTTCTGCCTACACTGTAAATGAAAGAAAAGGGCAAATCTCGCAGATTATCAACTGTCTGTTGGATCAGGGGAATAAGAAAGAGAAGGCACCTGAAGCTAAATTGTACCTTCAGATAAACCCAATGGAAGATGACTGTGTAACAGGAATTGTTTATGAGTATCTGAGCACAGAATTTGGCCTCTGGTGACAAAGCTGCCTTGACATTTGCCAAATGGAATGTTGTGCTTAGGACTACAAGCCTGGCCCCACTAACCACAGCACCTTCTTTGACAGAGGTGAAACTAAATTATCCTCTTGCTCCCACAGCGTTACCCTTAGAGCTGGCTGGATCTCGGTTTAGTTGGAAAATGCCAGTTCGCCAAACCTGAAATTTCTTGTGAAAGCAAGATGGATCCAACGAACTTTTACGGAATCACAGGCCGGTTTCACTTCTTGCTAATTGCAGCAGTGACACTGACAAGAATGTCAATTTCGCGCCGCAGCTGGGAGCAAATTTTGTTTCAGAAACACCATGTGTCAATGTTTCCAAAACAAAGGGTGTTTGTTTGTTTTGGTTTGGGGGGGGGGGGGATTTCAGGTTTGGGGGAAAATGTCTAAATAACAAACGCTCCGATGATCTGGAAATCCCACATTTCAGACATCTCTGGTTACTGACTACAATGTGCTTAACCAAAGGAAATGAGGAAACATTTTGACCTCTGTTACATATCTAGGGCTAAATACTGTATTCTATACACCAGAATCTAGATTCTTTATATGAGAATTCTAAATCCAGAATCATTCCACATTAGCCTTTAGACTGAGAATAGATTACCTGCAATGTCATACCACATTGCGCTGTCCAGCCAGTGGCCAGAAGAAAAGATACATGACCAAAAATTTACTCTTGCACATATACAGTATTTGTGCACAGTTCCCAATGGCTTCAAGAGGAGTTGCTCCTATCTATATGAGGGTAGAATTTGGCCCATGATATTTTTATTGGCAGATAAAAATATGTTCTTACTTTTAGAAGAAGGAAGTGAGGAACAGAACAGTCTCTGCTCACAGGATAGAGATGAAGCAGGAAAGAAAGACCCTAACTGGAAACAGGAATCTGACATATCAAGGCCCTTCTGTGTGCCTAGG